GTTTGGGGCATTCATCGGCAAAATCGGCGTGGGTGTTCCAGACCCAGGCGCAGTCACTGCCCGCGTTTGGCTTCAGCTCCATCATTGGAGTGATGTAATGGTTGGCGCATATCTTCAGGGTCTTGTCCCTCCTCATGAGGAGGCGGATGGTCCCTCCCTTTATCCTTATGCTTCAGGAGCTTGACTTCGCCAGTGCCTCGTTCCTTCCATTCTGGGAGATCATTCTCTGAAGCAAACCGGAATAGCTTTGCCCGCATTTTGAAAAGCTCCTCTTCATCTTCTTCCAGCGTTTTAATTTCTTGCGCAGGGAGAGAAACTATAGGCTCAAACTGAGGGTCATGGTTGGACTCATCTGCATTTTTGGTGGAGGTATCATGGTCCTCATGGGTGTCCTTGGGGGCCGCCATGGAGGCGCGGCAGCGGCAGCGGCGGTGGCGGCAGCAGCTCAGCTGGCTTGGTCGTCGCTGGCTCCGCGGCCTCTCTGCAGCTGTTTGTAACTCCTTCCCTCCGCGTCTGGCCGATAATTCTTTTTTGAATGTTTGGTAAATTCACTTGTGAAACCATATGGTCCCGGGCTTTTGTTTGTTGGGAGCTTGTTGATTACTGATTCAATTTCCTTGGTAGTATCAGTCTATTCAGATTTTCTGTCTCTTCTTGAGTTAGCTTTGGAAGGTTGTATGCTTCTAGGAAATTATCCATTTCTTCCAGATTGTCAAATTTATTGGCATATAGTTGCTCATAGTAATTTCTTAAATTTTTTTTGTATTTCTGTGGTGTCTGTTGTCACTTTACTGCTTTCATTCCTGATTTTACTATTTGAGTCCTCTCTCTCTTTTTGGATGAGTCTGGCTAGAGGTTTGTCAATTTTGTTTATCTTCTCAAAAATCCAGCTCTTGGTTTTGTTGATCTTTTGTATTGTTTTTCTGGTCTCTATTTTGTTTACTTCCGCTCTGGTCTTTATTATCTCCTTCCTTGTACTCCTTTTGGGCTTATTTTGCTATTCTTTTTCCAGTTCCCTGAAGTGTAAGGATAACCTGTTGATTTGAAATTTTTCTGGCTTCTTTAGGTAGGCCTGCACTGCTGTGAACTTCCCTCTTAGGACTGCGTTCTCTGCATCCCAAAGATTTTGGGTCATGGTGTTTTCATTTTTATTTGTCTCAAGGTATCTTTTGATTTCCTTCTTGATCTCAGTTTTGACCCACTTGCTATTTAGTAGCATGTTATTTAGCCTCCATGAATTCGTGAGCTTTCCGGATTTCTTCTTGTAATTGATTTCTAGCTTCATAGCATTGTGGTCGGAGAAGACGCTTGGTATGATTTCAGTCTTCTTAAATTTATTGAGACTTGCTTTGTGGCCTAACGTGTGGTCTATTTTGGAATATGTTCCATGTGCACTTGAGAAGAATGTGTATTCCATAGCTTTGGAGTGAAATGCTCTGAAAACACCAATTAAATCTAGCTGGTCTAATGAGTCATTTAAGGTCATTTCCACATTGATTTTCTGTCTGGAGGATCTGTCCGTTGGTGACAGCGGGGTGTTGAAGTCCCCTACTATGATAGTGTTACTGTTGATCTCCGTCTTTATGTCAGTCAATATCTGTTTTATATATTCTGGGGCTCATATGTTAGGTGCATAGATGTTTACTAGGGTTGTGTCCTCTTATTGGATCAATCCCTTTATTATTATGAAGTCCCCTTCTTTGTCCTTTATTATAGTCTTCAATTTAAAGTCCATTTTATGTGATATAAGTATTGCTACTCCAGCTTTTTTCTCAGTTCTAGTTGCATGAAATATTTTACTCCACCCCTTTACTTTCAGCCTGTAAGTGTCTTTTGATCTGAGGTGAGTCTTGTATATAGCATATTCAAGTGTCTTGCTTTCTTATCCATTCAGCCACCCTATGTTTTTTGATTGGAGCATTTAATCCACTTACATTTAACGTGATTATTGATAGGTGCATAGTTATTGCCATTTTGTTATTTGTGTTCCTGGTCTTCCTTAGTTAGGTTGTTTTTCTCTTTCTTCTGCTTAAAGAAGCCCTTTTAACATTTCCTGCAATGCTGGCTTGGTGGTAATGAATTCCTTTAGCTTATTCTTTTCTGGGAAGCTCTTTATCTCTCCTTCAATTTTAAATGATAAACTTGCTGGATAAAGCCATCAGGTTTGTAGGCCTTAGTTTTTCATCACTTTGAAAACCTCCTGTCTCTCCCTTCTGGCCTGCCAAGTTTCTGTAGAAAAGTTGGCTGATATTCTTATGGGGGTGCCCTTGTAAGTAACTTGCTGCCTGTCCCTTGCTGCTTTTAGGGTTCTGTCTTTGTCTTTAACCCTTGCCATTTGCACTATAATGTGTCTTGGTGTGGGCCTGTTTGGGATCATCTTGGTTGGAACTCTCTGCACTTCCTGGGCTTGTATGTCAATTTCCTTTGCCAGTTTAGGGAAGTTTTCAGACATTATTACTTCAAATATGTTCTCTATCCCTTGTTCCTTCTCTTCTCCTTCTGGTATTCCTATGATGTGCATGTTGTTGCGCTTGATGTTGTCGCCCAGCTCTCTTAAACTGTTTTCAGTGTTCTTTTTGTTGTTCCACTTGGATGATCTCTGCTATCTTGTCTTCTAAGTCACTGATTCGATCCTCTGCTTCATTCAATCTGCTAGTAATTCCATCAAGTTTGTTATTTAATTCAGTAATTGTATTCTTTAGTTCTAGCTAGTTGTTTTTCATGATTTCTCTATCCTTCTTTATATTCTCATTAATTTCCTTGAACATTCTAATAATCAGTGTTCTGAACTCTGTCTCCGATAGGTTGTTTACCTTTATTTCCTCTAGTTCCACTGATTCAGGAGGTTTCTTCTGTTGTTTTGTTTGGGATGTGTTTCTTTGTTTAAGCATTCTGGCTTACTCTTTGTGTTTGCTTTGATGTAATAGGTAGATTCCCTAGGTCTCTCAGTCTTTTCTGAGTAGATTTATGTGGTATGTGTCCTTTATATTTGAATTACTCAGTCTCCCTATTCTCCTGTGCATATGTACCAGAGGTGTTCCTTGTGTTGCACGCCTCCTCCTGTAGAAGTTGAGCTTTGATTGCTTTTGGCTTGTCAGTAGGTGGGATTGACTCCCAGGCTGACTAGCTGTGAGGATTAGCTGTCCACAGTTTATGAGCTGCTGTGTGAGGGTTGACTCCTTCAATGAGGCTTGGCCTCTATGGGCTCTTGTGCCTGTAGCGATTTCCCTTTCGGTGTCACTCTTGTAGGTCAGTCCCTGTAATGCTCTGGTTTTGTCTAAGGTTGGCCTCTGGGTGTGATGATTCTTGTGCCTCTTTGGCTGGGTCCTGCTGCAGAGCAATTTTAGAGCAAAACAGATCAACAAGAACGAGTACAACAGCCACCAGAGGAAACCAGATACTCTCACATGTAAAAAACAACCAACAACCTACACTCAACATATACGGAAATATCAAACTTACAAAAAAAGAAAACAAGAACAAAACAAAATATAGTAAAAAAATAGAATAAACACGAGAAACAAAATAGCAACACCAAAAAAAAATTGCAGAAAAATGGAAAGAAGGAGGAAAAGTAGAGCAGTGAAAAGAAAGAAGAAAAGAAGGGAGAGAGAGAGGGTAGAAAAGAAAGAAGGAAAGAAAGAGAAATTAAAAAAAACTATAAATATATATATACACACACACCCCTATATATATGGATGTATATATTCACATATATACACCTATATATATATGTGTATATTAAAAACTAAAAATGATAATAATGAAATAGAAAAAAACAAAACAACCAAAACAAGCAACCAAAAATCCCCGCAAAACTCCCAAAACAACAACAACAAAAAACATGCCAAAAAAAACCCCCAAAACCAACCAGTGCCAGTCTTGGCTCAAGTCCACCAAGGGCTCTCCAGGTTGTCCTCTGCTATACAAAAACTCTTTTGTATCTTGTGGAGGTAGAGCTGGCCATCTGGTGCCTAGAGTGACCCTGGCAATGCAGGTCTATTGTAGATGAGTGGGGTTATGAGGTGTGATTGGTAGTTTTTAGAAAGTCAATGACATTTCTGCTCTCTCCTGCCCCGAGGCACGCTGAGTGCTGCGCAGCCAGAAGGCTCAATGTGCTTCTTCTGGCACTATTTCTGCTGGAGGCTGTGGGGGGTGTGAGATTTCAGAGCTGCTAAAAGCCACCTGCTGGGGGGCCTGCGAGTGACTCAGCAGATGAAGTTGCCCTGCCTCCCAAGCCGTGCAGGAGAGGTGGGGACAGGGTAGGTAGGCTCACACTCCCCAGCCTCTTTTATGCAGAGTTCCTCAACCCCCTGGGAGTAGAAGCACCTCTGTAATCTGACCCTACTCCTCCATTCAGGGGTCAGTTTAAGATTCTGGTATGGTGGGGGCCAAGGTTTCTGAGGGAGGGTGGGGGTGGCTTCTTATCTATGCAGTTGTGTTTTGCTTTCTGTCAGAGAAAAAAGAAAAAAAGAAACAAAAAACAAACAAAGTCCCCCCACTGTTTTGAGCTGAGGCTTCTGCCTCAGACACTCCAGCCAGGCTCTTGCTGCGCTCCGGGAGGGATTGCAGGGGAGCAGGGACTGAGCCCACCCTGCTGCTGCAACGCTCTCCGCTCTGTCTCCTGGGGTCCTGCAGCTCCGCAGCTGCTAGTATGAACCCTGCCTCTGCACGCCTGCCTCTGCACGCACATCTGTTCTCGCTCTTGCCCCACTCACCTGGCCCAAGGCGTCTGCCTCAGGCAGAAAACCATCGCGCTGCCGCTACACTCTAGGCGGGCCACGAGGCGCAGGGAGCAAGCCGTGGGAACACTCTCTGATCTGCTCTCTGAGTCCTCGTGTCTCAGCAGGCATGGGTGGGGGCTGCGCCTCCACGTGTCTCGCCTCCCTCTTCTCCCACTCGCCCGGTCTGCCCACGTTAAAGTAATTGGCGTACAAGTCTCTTAGCTGCTCTGTGTGATGGGTAGAGGTTTGTTTGCTGAGTTACAGCTGTTCAAATTGTGGCGGTTTCCAGGTGAGAACACAGGGATCCCTCCTCACAGCCGCCATTTTCCCCTCTAAACTCTCCATTTTCATTGTATAGTATTCTGTTGTGTATACTGTGCATATTCCATGAATACACCACAATTTATCATACATTTTACTGTTGATAGACATTAGAGTTGATTCAGTTTTCAGCTAATAATAGTAATGCTGCTGTGGACATTTTTTTATATGGCTTTTGGTGAACATTTATGCATAACTGGGGGTGCCAAAAAATGTATACAAGTGGGTACTTTGGTCAGCGTTGCTCAAGCAGTAAGTTGTTCACGATAATCAGAAGTGTCTGGATGCTAATGGTAACCACTTTGAGCACCGCTTGTAATTGCAGAAGTCAAATGTGACTTGTATTCATCTTTTGTTATTGG